CTTGCAGTGGGGTCTTGTGAAAATGACAGGATGCTCTGATAGTTTCCCAGATACTTGGGGTTTTGCTGGAAAATGTATGGAAAGCTCTGTTTGCTCCCTGAAGTGCCTGACCTACTGGTACTAGAAGCAGCAAATCTATGAATATCGCAGTGCTTTTGAACCCTTTTCCTGACAGCTGATAGTTTGCAATTATGTGAGCAAGACTTTTGAGAGCCAAAAATGCCGGTGCTCCTTAGAGACAGTGTAAGACTCGGTGTCCATCCTGCTGAGCTGGTCTTCTGCACTCAGTGTGACAGCAGACCTTGAGAGGTGGTGGTAAAACTCACATTTAGGGCCAGATGTGCTCAGGAGCACAGGTAAAACTATCTTTAAAAATCAAAACCCAGAAGCCAGATCTAGGCAGCCTCTGTAGTCAGGCACCTAGCGAGCAGGATGGGTCCCACTGAGCTTTCTTAGCTGCTGACCCCATACTGGGAAGACCTGCCATTCCCCAGGGACCTGGGGAGCTCAGACAAGGCCATTCTACTCTTAGGCAGCACAGCGAGAGTGGAGCAATCCCATCTGAGGGGACACTGGCAGGCAGGTGGTGGGATTTTGCAGTCAGAGAAGTCTGTGCATGGGAATCACCTCGCATGAAAATCAGACCTGGTTGCTACTGGAAGCCTCATGACGGCTACACCTTGCATGGGTCAGGTCTTTGTTCTTCATGCATCCACAGCTCCTGGTACTGGGGGGGGGGGGGGGGGGGGGGGGGGTGGTCAGGAGACAGCCCAAAGTCTTGTGTAACTCATATGCTGATCAAACACCTCCTCCAGGATTCTCAGTGTATTAGTTTTTCCCAGTTTCACATTAGTTAGGAACTATGCAACCTGTCTAACAGCAGGAAGAAAAACAAGCCACTGGTATACGATGGGTTGATGTCAAACACTTGGCTGCAATTACCCTAAAACCCAACAAGTGAGCAAATGTGTTGCATTTATACATTTCTTTGCCCTGTTCCGAACCTTTTTACCCTTTCTTCTACACACCAGCAATTGCACAATAGTCTGGCTAAAGCCCTAAATGCTTTCTCTGTAATAGAAATAATAAACCAAGTACAAGCAATTTTTCCCCAGGCCTCAAATGAAGTATCAGGTACAAGTGTCACTTTGCAAACATAAATTGTTCAGACTGCAATAAAAAACCCCACAGCACAGCAATTGGCAGCTCCTTTTTCTGTTACAGGTATCTCCCATTATTGCGCTACCACAACAGGGAAAAAAAGCAGCTTCCAGCAATTGAAATCTGTAACTTTGAATCTGGCTGTATGAACTGGGATCCTTTAGGAAGCCGAGAGCTCAGTCCTGTGGGTTCCTTTTTATGTACACACATAGTTCTGTTGAGTTTTAATAAAACTCCTTGCGTGAGTCATGTTACTCATGCACAAGTATGTGCAGGATCAGGGCTTTACATTGTAGCTGCAAGAGAGAATTAAAAATTAATCCAGCCAGGAGTTAGCTAGAAAAAACCAAATCAGATATTTGGATTCTTGTGTTGGACAGAACAACCCATGTGCTGAACTTACTGACATCAGTAACAATTTGGGGCCCTGTATGCTTCCTGCCATGTCCCCAGCATTAGGCTCTCAGTGTGCTATAGAACACTGATGCTATTAAAGAGTGGTGTGGCTGTTTCCTCCCCCCCAGAAGGGCTACGTATCCTCACAGGATCCTTTTTCTCATAATATATTTTTCAATAAAAGTTCCCCAATTTTGTAATCAGTTGGGAAGAAAGAACATTTCACAATGTTCATAAGGCTTGTAGATGTTTTGACCAGACATAAGATTTCCTATTGATAGTATTAAATGCTTTGGAATGAAATGTTTTGGGTTTTCCATCTGTAGGCTGTCTGAGATGTCAGCAGCCAATATGACCTGCTCTTTAAGAAAAGGCAGCTTGTTTAACTGATCTTGCAGCAGAGAGCAGAGGTGTATATTAATGAGCTTTCTCTAATGGCACACTGGACCTATTTAGCACTACAACTGTGAAGGCTTCTCTTTCTCAGTCATAACTCATTTCCTAAGAAAATGTCAGTTATTGCTTCACCTTATGGTCTGAGCTGTTCAGTTTATAGTTTATTTCTTCTGATCTGTTCCACTGACAGATATTCTAGACATGACTGTGATTAAATAAGCTTATGAAAATGGTAAACATTTGATAATATAAACCCTTCGGGGAATATGCTGTTATTTCTGCATGGCGGCATTCTCAGGTGCATTCCAAGTATAACGTGGAAGCAAAGAAAAACCATTTTAAGCAATTACAGTTATTAGATTAAATTGTTTTGGTAGGAAAACTGGGATGTGTTGAGATTACTGTGAGATAATTCAGTGTTTTCATAAATACGCCTTTTAAATGCATGATGCTGCAGCAGTTCCGCTCCAGTGAGATTTTAGTGTAAAATGAAGATAACACATGTATTTCCATATGGCAGTGAGCTAATTCAGTCCTGTCAATTTCTACAACATAGTTTTTCCTGGTAGAAGCCCTGTTCTAAAAGCAAGTCATTCCCAAATGCAACAACTGCATCCTGCTACTTGCTGTAATCATGTGGCATTGTTTGGTGTCTGTGCGTAGCACAGCGCTGTCTGAAGCACACATTAACAACCTCGGAGTAAAAGACAAAAGTAGTAATTGCAATATAATTATTATTTTTATTGATGAACTTGTTTAAGAGCTCTGTTGACATTTACAGACTTTGAGGATCATGCAGTGTTTGTTACAGTTATCCCAGGCATCAAACATCAACAAAATGTTTAAGATTGTAGCATTAAGCAGTGGCAGATTGGGGCCAGATGTCTGGGAGATACTGTAAGTAGCCTTCTCAGCTGATCAAATAGCTCTTTACCATCCTAAAGCCCTTTCGAAATCCAACATGGTGCTTTGTAGTTGAAGCTGAGACACTTGTCTCAGCTTCATCAGGACTGATGGATCTTTCTGGAGGTTATTTGAACAGGAGAATGATCCATGACAAGTGTTGTCCCTCAGAGGCCCACACTGGGACCGGTACTGCACAGTACCATCATCAGTGACACAGTGGGACCAAGCGCACCCTCAGCAGGTTTGCAGAGGACACCAAGTTGAGTGGTGTGGTTGACACGCCTGAGGGACAGGATGATGTCCAGAGGGACCTGGACAAGCTCTAGAAGTGGGCCAAACTTCTGAAGACGTAGACTGCATCTCTCAGGTGATTCTGGTTCTATCAAGATAGCTGTGATGGGGAAAGATGGAAACCTGTACATAGCAGATAGTTGTCTACACCCATAGACCCACATACACCATTCAGACAGATTCAATGTGTGCCCAGGACAGTAGAATATTGAGAGCAGTAAAAGCCATAGTGATCCTTTCATGTAGGAGTGGCTGGGAAAGGCAGAAATTCAAAGTCTGCCAGGAAATGCTCTGTGTGTTGGAGTTCTTGTTGTGTTTAATCTGTAGTTTGCAGAGGTGATCTGCATCCAAAGACACAACACAGCCTGCAAAATGCAGCAAGGTGTGATGGCCCTTTCTCCATCACTAGTTAAAATTGCCTTTGTCAGGCACCAGCAGATCACATGCCTCCAGTTTACAGCATCTTCCAGGTTCCATCTGCATCTGCTCTCCCTTCCCATTCCTCTGCCTGCAGTGCTTGGTGCACCAGCTGAGTCAGGAGCTTGCATGCACCAATGCATATCACAAACAGAATGTGACGGGGATTGGCAAGGCGGTGGTTTCTGTGATGCCATCTGAGGGACCACAGCAGCGAGTGGATAGCTGCTGAACAAAACCTTGACTCAGCAGGAGGAAGTGACAAAGAACTCATTAATCTTGTGAAGGTCAGGATTTCACTCCTTATGAACAAGAATCATACAAAAACTCTGGATTCCAGGAATAGTGGGTTTAAGATACACCTATGTTCCTTCAAAGCTGTTAGTGTTGATGTGAACTGGGTTTCTCTAATGCATTCTTTGAGATGTCACATCATAGAGCAGCAAGGTTTTGTCTGTCTAGAGACGCTAGAAGATCTGCAGTGTCGTGAAGCTACAACCCAGAGTGGGTAAAGTATGTGCATAATAAGTATTTGTACATATGTGTAAGTACCTGGGTGCATCTTATGGCTTTGCTGGTGCATGGAAGTGCATTCATTCATTCACATGCATTTGTGTTGACCTGTTAGTTCCCAAAGCCCACCCTAGGGACAGTGCCTCCACTGCAGTTGCCTGTTGCCTGTGACACTGAAACCTAGCAGTGAGCAATGCAAAACACGCTTCCCTTGGCTAGTAGCTGGAAATCTTAGTTATTTATTTATTCAGATTTAATTTGAAACAGCTACTTCTGTTATGAATGCCATGCAGCATTTTATTACTAATGAAACGGGTGCTTAAGAACTCAGAATCGCTCAGGTTACTGGTTGTATAAATGCTGAGAACAGATCTGAATGATACAGCTGGTAAAGAAAAGGGTGCAGAATAACAGCAGAGTTCCTCTGGATTGCTCTTCAAATGGATCAGGTCTTCTTGTAATAGTCTGTACTCATCTGCTCCACTATATAGTATTTCAGACATCTGAAACCAGGTTCTAACCTGCCACAAATAGCTTCTGCTGCTCTCTGTCCACAGCAACTGATTGTTATTGCCCACAGTGGTTCCTGTGCCAGTTAACATCTAAGAGAACTCATCACAACACTTGTTCTTTCTTGAAATCTTCTGTTCTGACACCATGTCTTTAAGCGTTTGGTACTTCAGACAGAACATGTGAGATATTTATAACCCTTGTATTATTACTGAGCTACACACCATGTCTTCAGTGACAGATGAAATGAACAGCACAAACCGTTGTGTTTCATCCATAGATTTCAACACATGTTTGAATCTTGGTTGATTTATTGCATGTCCAACTTGGATCTTACACTGTTCTCATTGTGGCTGCACATGGTTTATTTAATAGTACTTTACAATGATTTTTTTTATGACATTTTCCAGTTTGAAGGGTGCAACAAGGCATTTTCTAGGCTTGAGAACCTTAAGATTCACCTCCGGAGTCACACTGGGGAGAAGCCGTACCTGTGTCAGCATCCCGGCTGCCAGAAAGCTTTCAGCAACTCCAGCGACCGGGCAAAGCATCAGCGAACACACCTGGATACCGTAAGCATGATTTCAGACTGGGAGCTGCTCTGAGTTTTCCAGTGCTCCTTGTGCACAATCTGTTCTGCAACTGGAGGGTGACTGTTCCTTTTCATGAGGAGCATCTTAGAAAAGTCAGCTACAGGCAACTGTATTTTGGTATTTAATTGTATGTGCTTTTAGAAGGTCTTGATCACAGAAAGGCAAATTCAGCTGGCTTACTCATGCTGAGGAACAAGTTACTCAGGATGAGTTCCTCAGCAAACTCTCCCATTGTTCTTGTTCCAGTAAGAGGAGGCAGCAATAGAGTAAGGTACAGCATGAGTGAAAGCTGAGTCACTGCTGCTGTACGGAATGTGTGTCATTGTCTTGCTTCCTGCTCTGTGTTGCTTCAGTAAAGTCTGTTCTGACTGAACACAAAAGCAATTCAGACGTCTCATGGAAGGTAGATGCATAGCAGGTTTGGGCTTAATTTTGTAAAGGTAAAAATATATCTGTCTTATAACTATATGAAATTTGTACATAGGAATCAACTGTAAGAAACAAATTCTTGTGTACAGTTGGTAAGTCCTGGCTCAACTCTACAAATCTCACTTGTCTGGCAGAGAAGATGGAGCCTGTGTCTGAGGCTCCAGTAAAATTAAATCACCATATTATGGTGCAAGAAAGTAAGTGGAGAACTTTGCAGAGCGGTTAAGTAAGTCCTCAGCATAAAGCTTGTGAAGAGTAACAGGCAGAGGTGTTCCTTTGTCTTTAGCAAAGGAGTGAATATATGGTTTAACGTTTGGCCAAGTGCTTATGGGGCAGAACTGTTGAGTTTAATTGATATTTACTTTTTAAGCAGTTACACATTTCAGACAGTGCAGCATTAAGGAATGTCTCATGTACATTATGCCTTGCAAAAACAAACAAGGAAGAGAAGCGAGTCAGTCACATTTTCCAAACCAAAGCACTTACAATAACAATGTTTTATTTATTTGAAAGTCAACCTGAGATATTTGAATTTGTAATTAGTTCTCAAACGTGTCTGTTTTGAAAGCGGATACACTAAATCGGGTGCAGTTTTGAAAGTGAACTGCTTGAATTGAATAGATGTAGTTTTTATTAGCCAAAGTCACAAATAAAACGCCACTTACTAGTTTTGAAAGAGAATTCAAATGGTTACTAAAATAAGCAAGAACTCTTACATCTGTTGTTCTGTGCATTACTGAAGACAAATCTCTTAACTTGCTGTTTTCTTTTCTTCTCCCTTTATCTCTGTCTTTATTATCTGAAATGCTCATAAATCAGGAAAAAGGTACAGTAATCATTTTCTACTAACTTTCTCAAATGTCTAAACATACCCTCCATGCTGTTCTGCTGCAGGTTCTTTAGAACTCTTTCTGTGGTCCTACAACACAGTAACTAACTTCTACTTACCTGGTGTAATGAAGTCCCGTGGTCTAATTTAGTGTGTTGTGTGCTTATGTGAATGTGAGAAGTAACAGAGCTATGGGATGCTGCTACTGTACAGACTGCACATTCCGTTAGCTCAGGGGACAACATAACAGCCGGGAATGTCAAAGGAAACAGCCATGAAGCTTTTCCAGGGCAGTCAGATTTTCATGTAGTTTCCCTATCACTAAGCAGACTGATTCCATCACTGATCTGAATGACATCAATGATTTAAAAAATACTCTGCTAGTTTCTCCGCTAAGGGATTTGTTAAAGTTTTCCATAGTTTTTCCTCAGGTGTCAGTTCCCTGTGTTCCAGACACTCTCAATAAATCTGCTTTGCCCTGTAACTTTCTGGGTAGGTGCTGTGTTAACCTGTAAGGTCATGAGTTGGTGAATGATTCTATTATTCCTTCAGAAATTTCCTGCTGGCTGGACAGAGCAGCCACACTTATCCTCTGGAGGTACTTACAAAGAAAAGGGGTTTATATAGGCTGCTTATTCCTTATTGAGTGCATTTGGAACTGGTTTTAAAGCTTCTCAATGTAGGTCACCCCATCATTTATCTTCTCCAAAAGGAGAATCTGTAAATCATTTCAGAGACTTACTGGTAGTTTGATCGAATCTCTACTAAATCATCTGGACGTAGATCCTTCTCCAGAACAAAGGGAACGTATCTGTCCCTGTGGTAACAAGGGCATGTCATCACCCCTCCAGGAGCAGAGCAACTTATTTAAAGGACCTCACAGTCACTTCTCCCCAAACCTGTGGGTTTTTTTTCCCTTTGTGCATCCCCTTTCTGAAACCAAGGGGGATCGAAGAATGTGACACTGAGGTCATGACAAACCCATTTTCTGCCTCTCGGAAGACACCAAAAGGTCTCACTGGTCCAAGTGAAAAGTCTAAAGTGGTGCAAGAAAACAGAATAAAAATGAACCTTCTGCTCCACTTTAAACCTCTGTGAGCTTTGACATGCAGCACTCTTTACTACGCTGAACTCAATGGTTACTAAATAACAAGCACTAGAGTCCCTTTGCTCAACTTGGAAATCACACATTCATTTGGAGGTTGTACTGTAACACAGAGATGGTGTTTCATGTGTTGGGAATAGGCATAACTAGAAGAACTTAGTGAGGCTTTCAGTCACTGCGACTCCAGAACCAGTGCTTAAACTGGAGCACCCTTATTCATTTATTTATACATTTTCCTATGAGAGGAGAGCACTGGAACTGCCTGCCCAGGCTCAGATGGTTTTCCCAGGAGGTAGTGCTCATACTGCTCCTACACACAAAACTGACAAACTGTGCCCCATGCCAAAATCAGCAGGA